CTCCTTGCTGCAACCCTGATATCACACCGACTCTGCGTGATGGTGTTACAGTCAGCAGTCTAGTCTGATCAGCCATCGGCAACTGCTGCCTGAGCTAGCAACTCCGGGTTTTGTACACAATAAACCCAACTTCGGGTGGATTCCAAAGTTACGCCCTTCTCACTGTGTTCCTCCTTGGGGATTCCAGAGGGCAGAGTTGGACGGTGACACCATAAATTTCTACCGTTACAACAGTTAAAGTTGCTTTAAACATACCACTACGTTATGGTTAGTCCCTAGACAGTTGATGTAGGACAGGCGTAAGTGCTCAGGCCTCCTACCATTCCAGATCTCTTCTGTCTAATAGGGGCTCAGCTTACTCTATAATTAGCTAAGCACAATATGGCGGTGTTTCCTATACTGTCACAATAACTGAGTGAGAGGACTAGCATCAAATATTTCGCAATAAGCGGAGCATATGGAAATATGAGTTTACCACCGTCCTCCTTTTTTCGCTTGAGGTGACTGTATAAGACACCCGGGTTTACCCTTTTTGTGGTTTCGGCGAGTAGGTTGCCTCTGCGCAGGGGAGTGCGGATTTGCTCCGGCTTGCTAGGAACTTTGCACAGACACAGGCGAAGGAGTTGGTTTCTCAACCGCTGCAAGTCAAATGTCGTTTGGACACTGATAAGTATGAAAGCGGACAAAGGACTAACCTTTCTTTCCTCGAATGTTTGCAACGCTTGGTCATCTAAATATGGACGACAGATTAACAGTTCTCACCAATTTAATAAAATGAGGTCCGCCGCGAACAGTCCTTGCAGGTATAACTGGTCCTATGCAGTTTTCTGGCAGGATCGTCAGTCAAGCTGGACGTCAGTTGAAAGGACATTAATGTGACTTGGAACATTTCCGAGGTGATGTACTAGAAACCTGAAAGTGTAAAGAACTGACCACCTCTCTGCTGTCAACTTGCGCTTAACAAGCTAGATATGCTTGACATCCCCATTATCCCAAGTGACAGAATATTTTGTTACGCTGAGGAGCAGAGTATGACAGATGCATACCGCTTAAATGTTAGGGTCCAAGATAACCAGTTCTGGGAGCTTAAGGTATTTGTCTCGCTAAGCAGTTAAATGGATGGATCCAACCTTCAATTATCTGCAATACATCTCTAGAGATGCGTGTTGCCGATTACAAAATTATACCCAGCTTCCAGAATTTATAATTTACATAGGGAAGGTAATATTTCAAATTTCCTCCGTAATTACCGATCATACTGTCAAACATATCCATGTTTAATAAGGTACTTGATTAACGTTCTATGGAACTTCGTTGTTGTTAACATGTGACTGCCGATTATTGTAAGCGGAGAAAATGATTTAAATGCTAAAATAAAATCCTGTTTAGCTGAGCTCCTGGTACTACGATTGAGCCAATAATGAGGAGACATTTACACAGTTAGAGCATTTGTAGTCTCTCATAGCTCGCCGATAGTGTGCGTTCTTGACTGACAAATATGTCTAAGAAATGAAGGTGGCAGAACGACAGGTCACTTCAAAGAGCTGCTCTCCAATATCTGAGGTAAAGTAAATATAGCTTAATTAGTTACCGCTTGGTGTAACTATCCATACGTAGCGAACAAGGCATAACTTTGAGTTTTTGTCTTGTTCAAGGCAAGCGGCAATCGGGACAAATTCAAGCGGTCGAGGGGCCAACTGGACACAGGCGAGCATTTTACCGTAGTCTGTCAAATTTCGTACGGCAACCGTATTTAAACTGCAATAACCGAGGCTGCGCAAAAAACCAAGTAAGGAACCTACGAACAGGGGTTTGAAGCGATGACTGAGCGTTCCAAGTCGGCGTTTGCACACTCTGGGGAAAAAAGCCAAGATTTACTTATAGAACACACAGATAATTGTGGCAGTCAGTTAAAAAAGTAATTTAATATGGACCTCGGAGGGTGGCTTCGTAAGCTGGGCACTTCAACTTGACTTTTGCAGAAAATGCCTTTTACGAGCATGTTGGCTTTCATTAAGGAACGTCTGCTGCTGACGGGTCGTAGGAAAACACAAACGTCAAACATCTGTGAGGTTCTCTTCTTTATCCTTAGTGGTGAGTCTTGTACTATTTCCGGGAGTTCAGCCGAGTACGATTACTGTCTTCGGTTTAATCCATCGCCTAATTCATTGCCTTGAGAGGGAGAAGCACACTGTATATCTCTTAGCTCCCGTTAAATGTAGCTTATTAATTAATGCCATTTAAATTTGACATGCCAGTCCTCGCCAACTGAAATCTAGACAAACAGATAAAACTATTTGAAATGGGAAGGACGTCTCATTTTCGGATTTGTTAAGGTCAGCTTTCCTTGATTCAATATGTTCATTATAACACTGATTTTCTGCATATTCAAAGGCTCTGTGCGAAAGGCGACTGGACCACCACAAGGCAGCCGTAAACCACGCAAGTTTTGCTAGTGACGGCACAAGGATCGTTTCGTGTGATTCTAGTGGCTGCGTCTACATTTGGGACCTTCGGCAAGCCAGCAGGAACAACTGCCCGTCAACGCCTATACCAATGCCCCTAAATCGCGGATTCATAACAAACCAGGTTCAATTTGATCCTACAAATCGGTCGATTTTTACAGCAAACTCGAATGGAGATCTGATTGTCATTGAATGTGAAAGTTTTAATGTAAGTACCTACGATAGCATTTTCTGTCGCTTTGCCAAAGTAGGAGGAATAAAACGATTTTTATTGATTTTGTAATTTACCATAATAATAGCCCAGGTACTAGCTAAAAGGCTCAGGCACGTGCTTTGCCCGTATTCTGCCACTAATTGACCCAGCTGCAAGGGGTCCAGGTTAGTATTCTAAGAAAACAGGCTATCGATTTCCAGTTTTACTTAAACACAATCTTTCGTTAAAAAAGGTATAGTATAGCTACCTGATAATCAGGGAGAATTCAGCATTAATTTAGGCCTGATTGAAAGCTGGATTTCTGCTTAGTTTTCTAAATACTTGAAGACCAAAGGTCCACAAAAAATTTAAACAAATAGATGAAAGAATTCTGTTGCCTGACCGCAAGTTGTTTGTAAATTCATCATAAAATGACTGCAAAGAAAGTAATTACCGACGGATTTCGGTGGAAATCTTCAAAATAAATCTGTTTTTTAGCATTGTGCCCAGACCGCAACATCTAACAAACACATACTAGTTTGTTTTAGGAATTCGGCAACTTTTAATGGCAGTGCAAAATGTAGCTGGAAGCTCAGGGTCGGTCTTAATGAATACAGATTGGAGGCCCCTGAAATGCATTTCAACTTTCTCATTTAAAATCCTTGTGTTTCTTTTTAATTTAAACTTTCATGCAAATGAGGTTTACAAAAATAATTTAAAACGTACGTAGAAACCTTAATGACAGAGGCAATGTCAAAGTATTTTAAAATCACCGCTCTGCCGTCTTCATGGTTTTTTGGCAGATAATAAGAAATAAATTAACAGCGTAGCCTGAACGTTCGTCCTTGTAAGATTTCGAATCTGCACTTACGACAAACCTCTTCAATGACTATAGCAACGCGTTGAAAGTGGTCGTCATCTTAGCGGATAAATCAGATACTTATGCAACATTTCAAAGAATGACAAGTGTACACGTAAATCTCCTGTCCGTTCTCGTATTAATCCGATAGCTGTTTTTTCTGCAGGAGAAATTATAGTAAAAGCTAGCAATCAGAATAACAGAATTACCTCGGGATAACTCAACCCATTTTTCCAGCGTAAGGGAAAAGGCGCATTCCAGGATTTAGCTCGAGTGCGAATCAAAAAGACTAGGCAAATAAAATCATCTTTTCAACCTAACTGCTCTCTCTTAGAATGCTTTTTGTTGAAAGCCACATGTGTAGCGGTGGCTTGCTTTTATAAACATGGCGACCTTTCCCACGTTTTGGGAGGTAAATGCCAGCACCTGCAGAAATGCGTCTCCTGTTTATCAGATATCGCCTCAACCATCTGCAAATCATGACTGCGAACAAAATGCCCACATTGGACACTCCCCTGCCATATGGAAGGCATTTTATAAATTAAATTCCAATTTCGCAGAATTTTAGGAATGTCTTCA